AACTATGTGACCGATTCAGGCACTTATGGGCCTCTGATTGTTTATATTTGTTGTTGCAGTTAAGATCAATCTGTGTACTTAAGCCTTTGTATCATATTTTTACACATTCGGTTTTTGAAGTGTTGTGTTAAAACTGTCATAAGTCAAGGGTGGGTGGGTTTTATGGGGGAGGAGAGAGATGGGTAGTATAGAGCTCCCTGACATGTTTAACCTTGTCATATTTGTTATTATGTGTGCCTGTTTCAAGCCAGGATACTGTTATTCAACGGTTTATTAGATACTATTATTCATAATTGCTTATCTTTATTAATGTTATATAAACTAAACTGTTGATTTATTCTTTTGAACGGTTTGGAATGTTTCATACTTAATAAATCCGAGGTCATACTATATGGTATAGTTTCTGCTCATGCGGACGATGCTCTGTATTTGTTGACAACTTTATATATCTTTTTTAATGTAACTTGCCAAAAAGCATGTTTACCACTTCACCTTATTGTGACATTGTATATTACTTTCAGACAGAACGTAACTTACCTAGGACCTTGAGTAAGTAATGTTTTTATTCCAGAACTAGCGAGATATAACCACTTGCATCATATGAAATTAAACAATCTATTATTCGGAAACTAATAAAATTGCCATGTGGAGCGTGTCAGTATATGTTATATGTATTTAATGAAAGTTTTATACTAATGAAGAAAGATGGAAGAACACATGGATTTGACAACAACCAAATGACAAAACTTAACTTGGGAGTCAAATGAAATCAGAAGTCCGGATGCAGTTCTCTAAATCGACTAAAATCAGTAGAAATGGTGAAAAAATCTTACAGAGTGACGCCTTCAAATGTTTTTCATAAACATCATACTCCCTTAAGATCAGTATATTTCAAAATATATTAAAAACATAATTAACGAGGTTTTTGTCTTTGGTCATCATCTAATTAAACAAAAAACAATAAGTTAAGATACAGCACATAACTATGCAATACCGGTTCTGTCAAAACACGAGAAAAACGCAGGAACAAGGTAAAACAATGATAACTTTTTGCGCATCAAATATCAAATAATCCTCTTGCAAACCGAGAGCAACACCAAGGTGTTTGATGATATACGGCATCTGGCATGCAATGATACCGTCTTACTATTGATATTGACGCTTTATAATTCAATAATTTCACACTGCATCCTTATGATCAGTACAAAACATGATACAAGAAGCCATTTGTATGTCAGTTTTGGGCGGGTTTCCCCTGAGGTTAATACATGAAATCAGACTTGTTGATGACTATTTTAAAAGCCAGTTGTCATCCCTTCATATCGTTATTTACGTATTTATTCTTTATCAACAATCCCAGACCCATACCGTTTCGTTTGAAATATTGGGTTGCCATACTGCCATTTTGTGCTTTTTTTATATTGTTTAAGCAAAAGATAAGAACAAAACAAAAACAAAAAATATAAAAGCCTATCTGTTTTATTTAAAATGACACATGTTTGTTCTTCCTTCAGCCAGAATTTAAACCGTGCATTTTTTAAATTATGGGGATTCCACATGCACTGCACTTGTTTATCTGGTGTCTTAGCAGTAAAATATACTATATTTAAGTACTTTTATTGCATGTATTGAACTGAACTTGTAGGTTTGCTGTGACGACGGAGTCTGGATGTATTGTCTGGTGTTTGCATTTATGTGACGTAAAACATAATTAGTCACAGTTATTGGTAGAAGAAATAGGAATCAAACTGTGTCGTAGACAAGCATATGGATTGTTTATGTTTATGTTTTTTTGATGCAATTACACACGTACCCTTAGTATGCAAATACCTTTTGTCAAGTAGTATAAAAATGACCAAATGTTCGATAAATTTGCAGAATAAAGTGATTATCATTTCCTTAACGTAAACGTCCAGTCAAAACATTTGATATTAAAAAAAGGTAATTAAAAAAAGTCAGTCGAACATGACGATCACAGAAGCTGCTCTAAATATACGGAAATAAGTAAAAAAAAATCGACTAATTAATTGCCTTAAAGTTTTTTAAAAACTTAAATTACTCTTCAAATATAATGGTACTCTTCAAACATTTCAAATCTAAAGTAGCTATTCAAATTTAATGTAGCGCTTGAAATCAAATTTAGTTGTGCGTAACAGAAATGCAGTTAGAGAATGTTTTATTGTCACAACTTGCCTAATATGAAAATTTTTAGGACTTGTCGAATGGTATATTTTGTCTACTGTTGGGAATTTAGGATTCAGTATACGTAGATTACGTTATTGCGTATTACAATGTAATACATACAAGTATTTTTTTATCAAAACAAAGGCGTGTTTGGCTTCAACTATTGATTCGTGTTGTTCCGATGTATGAAACGTGCTAAGTAGAAAAGGAAAGAGATAATACATGTTTCTGTATAAATGTCCTGTATATATGGGAGATATTAAAAAACATTTATTATAAATTGATCATTTAAATACATTTTTTGATTTCCATTAACTTATTCAAATGCATTATAAAAATATATTTGGTTGCTTTCAAGAGAGACACTTTCATTTGGCTGTTTACCTGCGTGAAAAAACCCCAATCATGTAAGCCGAACTTTTTTCCTCTAATATGTTTTGTAATCATTTAAAACAGTTTAGGTCCTTTCTGATTATATAGCTCTTCAATTGTTTCGGTTCTTTTGTATCCATGCCTTTCAAATATTCGCCCCTAGGCGTTCTTGATGAATGTTAATCCAGAAAAACCATTCGGACGCATGCAATTTATAACGTGTTTGTTTCATTTTTTTTAAAGTCTAGATTTGTTGATTATTTCTACTATCTATCTACAACAAATGTCGTGATGGGAATAAACATGATATGAGTTGAAGACAAAGTAGACCATGCACGTCAAAGTGACAGCAATATTCATGATAATTCAAGCATCGACTGTCGTGCTTTTTTTTTAACTTGAGTCTATATATGACTGTTTTTCTGATTAAAAAAAGACATAATGCAATATTTTGTATACATTTATTAAGACAAAATGCATTTATATGTTAAAAACAATAAGACATGATAAAACAAAAATTGAAAATACACACTCTCATTTTCCTTATCTGACTTTATTTTGATTTGCTTTATTATAAAGTTATAGAAAATATAGACAATAACTGTTTAGTATCTTTAAATATCAGCTGTATTTGTACGAGGCTAAGACACAGGTGTAATGCGAGCTTCAGCACTGCTCCTGTTTCGAGCCGATTACAAATACAGCTGATATTTAAAGACACTAAACAGTTATTGTCTTTATCCTGCAATGGATTTTGTACATTGTTTTTGCTTTGAAAGACAGAAAAACTCACATTTATTGCATTTATTTTCGATTTAAAATATATTAGTTTCTGTTTATTTTACTTTTAAAGGCGTAGTAATATTACACAAAATTCAAAAGAACCTCGCATTGTCATCAATAATACATCGCTCAAATTAAATAATTATTTATTATAACATAACAACTAATTTCAACAGTAAAAACAAATAACAAAACATTGTCCGATTTAAAACAAAAGTATATGATTTGTCATACGCTTCAGAATTTTGAACTGAACATGACATTCACTGAACATGCTGAAATTGACATTGTTGCATGGTTGATTATGTGTGTTACACATGTACACATTCAAGTTTTGAACTTGAAGAATGTCGCCGTAGAAAATGGAGTTAATCCTGCTGTTCATGTTTGTCTTTTAGCAGACAATGGGTTTATTTCATATTGCTTTTAAGAAACGCATGAAAACAAACAGAACGTAAATTAATCTATAGTTCACACAAGGTCAAGAAATATGGCATTGGAATGCGACTGCAATACACATTCTGATGTCACGGAGGTTCATATAACACTTGTCAACAGCAATACACAAACGTAGTTCGGCAGTGAGCGGAGCTTTAAAGCGATATCTGTATAGTATACAGTTACAGGCTAGCGATATCTGTTGGGCTGTTAATGTATGAAAAGACACCACATTGCAGGATGAAATGGTATATTTGTACCACTTGATAAAACTGTTTTCATTTAATTTTAAGAATTGTCTTAACCGTATATTATGACTTACGTTATCAACTACTTCACGTTTATATCAACTGTTTCCGGTTTAAATCTCACGCTAAAAAAAAAAAATGAATAAAAAAAAATACTGGTTACTCATCTAGTGAAAATTTTGAAAATCAGATATGTTGTTATGAATTTGTTTCATATTAAATTTGTTAAGAATAAATTTTAAACCATGACAGTATCCATATGATGACGCAATGACATAAAAATCACATTTAGTCCTTTTTCATTTCAGACACATCAACAGAATTTTAACTGGGACATTCGAAACAACAGTTTTGATGTATATATTAAAAAGATAATAAAATGCTATTTTTCATACCAGACCCCTTATCAGCCCATGGTCAATATCATCCCTCGATAAGGACTCTGATATGAAAAAAGCCATGTTATAATCTATATATATATAATATATATATATATACATGAATCGTATATCAATACATAATACAACAAGATGTTATTAAGACAGCACTGAGTTAAAAATGAAAACAAGTTTTGTGTTGCAATTGTCAATGAAACAGGTGTCAACAAAATACTTAGATAGATTTGAGGCAGCAGTGGTTTACCAATGTTTAATAGATAAGGTAGATACAATATGATATAATAAACCCAAATAATGGAATGCTTGACGAGACAACAAGTCAGAAGTTTGCATCCAATGCAATATGTGATCATCACGATATGGTTAAAACATATCATTAATCCCCATGTTTTGCTGAGATTTCTGCTGCTTAACTTGACTTTTGTGGGTGCTACATGTAGTGGAAAATCTAAGCTTAAAAGTAAGTTAATTGTGTTCATATCAGTAGATATGGAGATTTTAATACCCTGAAGTATTTCAATACACCCTGAGTGGAAGTTTGTTATTTCAATGAACAAATGCTAATAAATATTCGCTGTGGCACTGACAGAAACAGCCAATAAATGGATAAGCAATGCCAGAGATATGAGTTTTTTCGTGCCGTGTAATTAACCTATCGGAATCCAAGAAATTCATTTGGCCGTGCCACAATTTTAACCTTGATTACTCGATTAACATCCGATTTTATGAATACCTGTAAAATATAAACATAATCGAATTGCACAATGATTTGACAGTCTAAAATATAATTGCAATCGCTTTTTTACATGATTCAAAATCACTGACATCTTAACTACTATATGCAACTATATGGATAACAAAAGGTTGTTTAAAAATTCTTTCACTGAATGATCTTTAGACTCAAAGTCATCACGAAGTGGGTCATGTTAGAATGTCTTTGATTTTTCCTTTTTAATTGATTTGTCTTCGAAGGAGTCAATTGCGCCACAAGCATCAATTGTTTTCTCCGATTCGGCATACATGTTTATGCAATCCTGTAAATAACATGTTCTGAATGTCGATGGAATAATAAACGGCAGCGTTGTTTCATGTACTATCTTACTGTCTGAAGAGAGACGACTTTCATTCGACTGACTTTTTATTTGCCTGTCTTTCTGCAGCGGTATACACACATTAGAATATATATTACTTGTAGCATCATCATCAATACCTGGAGAACGTTTGATACTCTGATGAACCATAACAGCTACTTTACACGAATGTGAATCGTCTTGGCAATATTGCTGAAGTGGTATGTAAGGTTTAGGATATTCCATATTCTCTTGAACAACAATGTCTGAATTGGAAGAACTAGTTGAAAGACTTTCGGTTTGCGATGATCGAACTTCTACTTGGCGATTCTTGTCTTCTTTCATTGTGAAATACAGATCAAGATATCCAACTTCATCATTCCCATTATCTGTTGTACTAGAGTGTCTTTCGTTAAAAACAAAGTTAATAGTTTCATTTTGAGATGCTTGGGATGGAATATTTGATCCCGTCGTAACAAATGTTAATGAGTTCTCATCGACTTCATCATATATGTCGTCATTATATAAAGTTAGTTCTAAAGGTTTTAAGATCACTTCTTCATTTACTGCTTCGAAGCTTAAGGCGTGTCGATTTCTGTATGTACGAAACAAGTGGCACAAGGCAGTGAGAATGAAACAACTAGTAATACAAAGTGTATAAATCATCCAGTCAGCTTTTGAAGTTCCTGCTATAATGAGAATTTATAACAAGAAATAATATGATTATTTGAAAATTGAAAAAAAAATCAGCTTTATTTCACATGCAAATACAAATTACGCACATTTACTGTTCTCCTTGACATCACTTGTACACCAGGATTATGGTGGATTTGGGCCACGATATCGCTATATCTGAAAATTTTATTCCTATTGTAATAATCAAATCAGAGATGTCAACAATAAAACCATAGATACGTGTATTCATCTGTTTTGCATTCTTCCACTTAACTAACCTGCTTTCAACTACTACGTAAATGTTAAACAACCATGACTTCCAATAATGGTCTCATCGGGTGGGTGTTTTATCTTATGGCCTGTTAACAATCTCAAGCCATATAATAGGAGAGTACAAATATATCAAAAATGATATTGTATAGTCTCTCATATTAGTCAGTAAATAATTACTAATTTTTTATTCCGAAATTTGTCTGACGTCTGACTACTTATACTTTCGTTTGTGCTACAGGATGGAATTGGTGAAATGATGTACAACATGTACAAGGTACATATTATTGGAGTAAGAGGAATAAGTAGGCGAACATATTGTTTATAAGCTTTTCAATGAATATTTTATGATCTATTTCTAAATTTTGATCTTCAACTTCTTAGTTTATTTGGCCTTTTCAATTGCTTTTATTAGAGCGTCATTGATGCGGCGTTTGTAGACGAAACGCGTGTCGGATGTACGCAATTTCAATCCTGGAATCTATGAGAATATCTCGAGACAAAAATTTTCCGCCCGAAATCTGGATCGCAACTTTATTTTTACCGATATGCGCGGCACTCTGTCGTTATACTGCTCAAGCAGGAGCACAAAAAGAACGCTAGTTGTTTCAAACCCGCCCTCCTTTCCCCGATTGGGATCTACCGAATTAGACTTACATGTGCAACACGACGGGTGTCACATATGGAGCAGAATTTGCTTACCCTTCCAGAGCACCTGGGATCACTCCTGGTTTTTGGTTGGGTTCGTGTCTCTCAGTCTTTAGTTTTCTTTGTTGTGTTTGCCTTGTTTACCTTTTGGTCTTTTTTTTTGCCATGGCGTTGTCTGTTTATTTTCAACTTTGGTATCTTTCGCCTCTCTTCTTGCATTCACAAACTATCATTTATCATTTTCATGATTTATCACTGAAAATGACTTGAAAGATTTTCATACATCAACACTTGATTTTATTTAATCAGGCAAGAAGTCACAGGGGAATATTTATAGGTCACAATTTATAGACTTTTAAATGTATAACTATTACAACGAGTAAAATGCTCGTGTGTTTATAGAAAGCACATTTGAATGCAGTTATTATAACTTTTATCAAAAAGAAAAATACATACTGACATCGTTTAAATTACCATTCATTGTGACTGTTGTTTCTGTTGCAGTGACTCTTTCATTTGAAAATAAAACTGGTTCAGTCATTCCTACAGAGAAATGATTTTAAGCTTAAAAACCTTTTTTATTTTGCATTTTGAATTTCTAATAAAGTCTCTGTTAAGGTACCATACCTTTCGTACTTATATTGGTATCCTTTTGTATTTCTCTCTCTTGTTTTGTCTATAAAAATTTGATTGAAACATTGTCGACATCAGTTGCATCATTGACTATAGTAAAATTACTTTGTCATTTGGAAAAAAACGCATCGTATGCATTTTTATCGATATCCTTCTTTCACTTGAACACATTCAAACACCGTAGAGATCTCAAGTATTTCGATAATTAATTGTTTATATGTTTTGAAAGTCTCCAAAACTCTAAAAGTATATTGACTAAGGCATAAATGCACTAAGTTTACATTGTAAAAAAAAAAAAATATTTCCAGTGCTCATCAATGTCTGCATTATTTGTACCTCCTACTGTATAGAATCGGGTTCTAAGTACATATTGAAGGCTTTACCTTTACCTCGAGATGGAGAACTGCAATAAAAGTGTTTTCCTTTAGTTTTCTTTTGTCATGTTCGATTAGTGAGTTATATTACATTTGAAGCGTCCTAATCCATTGGTCTACGAATGTCATTATGGTGTGGGTAACACTTATGGAATATAACTGCCAAAATTAACCAAAGTGATGTCAAATATGTCGTTTTTACAACCCTAGTACTTTCTTTCTTTCCTTGTTTATGATAAAATGGATGATATTTATTTATTATTACAATGTCTCTCAATACTAACAAAACTAATACAAATACGTGAATAGTGATATTATCAACGAAACAAATTCTGAATGACGGTAGTCTTTACCTGTATATGTAGTAGATATCGTTGGAATGCTTGTCTGTAGAATACACCCCACTACAGCGTCACACCTGTTGTGTAATTAATTTATTTTTTATGTCCTTAACATTTCATTTCACATCATATGTATATTAAAGACGCATCGCAACAATAAATTTAGAAAAAAAACCCAATAAGTTTACTATTTACATTATAAGAGAAATAAACGGATTATTTAGCTACCATTGGATAGAAAGACTTTATCGTATGGTTTGGGTATTCAAATCTTGATCACAGCAATTCTATACATCCCGCATATTCACGACCTTCATGGAATACTTCTGCTTACTATTGGATGTCTTTAAGTGTTAGTATCATTTTGTAAAAACATAAAGCTAACCTTTTTGTTGTTTATTGAAAGCTACATCGGTATATTACAGATTGTATTTATAATTAGAAATCTGGATTAGAAGGCTAAATTCTAAAATTTAAAATTTGAAATATAAAACGATTTATTCCTCTTATAGATGCATATTTGTACTGTCAAATTTTGTTTTCGGTAGTACATTTCAAGCAAACATTTATAATCTTGCATTTGTAAAATGTAGCTTATTTGTATATCACAAATAAATCACCAATAATCACAGTAACTATTTGACTTCAGAGACAACTAATGATTATTACCTGTTGTAGTGTGTAATTTTAATTGTTTATTACTCCAGTACACGGGCCACATCCAATTGAAATAGCTCATCTTTTACATTAAAGTTAAAATTGTTACATGACTGATAGTTCAAGTGCAAAAACATAGCTTTTAACCGTAAAAAGAAGATGTGATATGATTGCAAATGAAACAAACCTCCTACAAAGACCAAATGACTAAATAGATTGCAACTATTGGTTACCTTGCTGCCATTAACAAAGAGCAAAATCCATACAATCAAGCTGGCTTGACGTGAAAATTGTAAAACAATTGTAACGAAAAAACTAACGGCCTGATTTATGTACAAAATTATCAACGAAAAACAAAGTGATATGGCATCCAGAATCAAACGATAACCACTGCATTGCAAGCTCCTGGCTTTAAACAGGGGTGGTTGAACATGTTTACGAACGCCTATTCCTTCCCTAATATGGAACAGTGGTGTAACAGCACAACTTCAGAAAAAACTATAAAAATTAGCTTAAAAGGACTAAACACATCAGATCGAAAAAATTAACTAAAACACTAAAGACACAAAGTACAGATATGAGAGTAATCGCAGTTACTGAAAGCTAGTTCAAAACCAATACAAAAAAAACGAATGAAACATCTTGTTTGTAGAACTAAACAATCAATCAATACATATCCAATGGATTAAGTGTAAAGACATAGTAGTTCATTTTTGTAGAACATTATGATATTTTCCAAATAGTCAAAATAATAGCGAATAATCGAGTCACATAATGCAAAATGTACAAATGTCCGTATTGCAATGCTTACCTTGTTTTTTGCTTTGGAAATATACCCTTTTTGTAATAGTTGTTTAAGACATCGAATCAAATCATTTTTAAAAGGTTTTCACTAGATGAAAAAAGAACGTTATAAATTTCGTGCGACTGAAGAGTTTTTCTGGATTGACCTTTATCAAGAACATTCAGACCAAAACATTTGAACGCCACGATTGTATTCAGAAGAAGACACAGAAGGAGCGCTATAACCAAAAATGAACCTAACAACAACAAAATTCATTCAGGGAGTTGGAACTTTAATTTCCTAGTAATATAATTTATTAACGGAAAATTACATTTTATAAAGAAAATATGCAGTAAAAAGAAATCAACACTTCTTTTTTAGTAAAATCGAATAGAAATATATACCTATGAAATTGATTGCAACTGCACTTATTAATACACTTGTAACCATACATATCATTTGTACATGACACGCATCGACCTCTTGCATATGTAGTCATTCCTGTTTTGCATTCTAAATAAATAAGCAGATGATTTGTCAATCCCTTAATATATAATAAATAATTATCATACCGTAATGAACAACCTTTATATAATTCAAATCATTTACAAAATAAAAAATTCGTAATTATATATTATCGACAATCGGATGAATTGTAACACGACCATATAAACAATCCAGAAGAGTGTGTATTGTGTTAGATAAAGAAGGAAATATTTAAATCATTCGAAAATAAGACTGGTTAAAGGTTTTGTAAAGAGGTAAATACTAAAATACTCACAAATGTGTTAAAATGTATCAAATGTTCAGTAGAGCGCAATTATACATAATTGTTTTTAGTAAAAATTGAAAAAAAAATTTATGGATGTAAAAATGACCTTTTTTCGCGGGAAAAGAACCCTGCTAATGACTTGAATACAGAGGACAAAGATCCTGTCTCTTTTTATTGTGACATAATAATATTCTCAAGAAACAAAATATTACAATAAAAGTAAAATCATGGAACCTATAATTAAACTAAATATACGTAATAACCAGTTATAAAAAAAAATGAATAATGTAAACATGAATAATTATCTACTATCAACAAGAATAAAAGAAACGCAGGAGTAAGATTTATTTTTAAAAATAGAGATGGCAATATATCAAATGAACATTAAATAATCAAACATTTAGGCAATGAGCTAGTTTAGGTGTATTTGAAATACTGAATCCAGGTACGAGCAATTTTTTAACACACTTTGTTTAATTAAAGAAATGAAAAATAGAGATTGCTGTAACAGTGTTTTAAAGAAGTTCATAAATTTAACAAGAAATTTGTGGTAAAATCACTCATCAAGTTAACGTGTAATAAACTTGGTTGTGTAATAGCAATTGGTATTTATACCGTGAAATGACAAAACTAGAGCCTGCTTCACGTAATAACGTCATGGGCTGGCTACAGGTTGGAAAATCGCATACTGTAGTCCCGACAAGTAAACGTCACCAAAGCACAATTTCGCGCAGGCAACCTTTAGATCAAACTAAATCAACTGAGTAGCGCCCTTGATATAGAAGGCCATGCATCTTCCCGCTATCCCAATATTGGTATATCCGGAAGTTCAATACATCAACCCAACATCTGGTATCCAGGATAAACTGAGATTTTCTTGATTGGCAATCCGTAATAGGCTTCAACAGCGCCTAATGTTTCCATGAAACATATGCTTGACAAATATTGACCAAGATTCACAGATCTGCATATGTTCTTTTGTGTCACGTATTGTAGGCTTTGAAAAACAGTGACCGAATGTGGTTCAGTGATGATTCGTCTTTTCTTCTCCAAAGATAGGATTGACGAGAAATGTTTGCGAACAGAAAGTTAAAATAATTGGTTTTGGAAACACCAGGATGTTGACAGCAATATCATACAACCGCAAAACAAACCTACATGTAGTGTGGTTCAACGTTAACGTTATAGAGAAAATGTTTTGCTGCCACATATGCTCATTGTAATTGACCGACAAAGGAGATGTTACAGCAGGAAAATGCCTGGTCAAATACAGCGTGGGTTAATAAAGATTTTTAACTCTTAACTCAAAACAACAATCAAGAATTGTTATGTATAAAATAGTTGCAAGATTTGAACCTATAAAACTTATGTTGGTCGAACTAGATAGGCGAGTCGGCAAACGCTTACCCAGCTCATTCATTGGATGAAGTTGAATTTAGTTATACGATGCTACAAGAGTTGCAAAGGATTACTACATTTGTACCACAAGTCAGAATACAAAATTTGATGAACATAAAAAAACTGTGTTAGCTGCCTGCACATGATGATCAAAATAGATACCGATAAATGGGTCACTTGGCATTTACTCTTTTATCGTATGAGAATATTTTTTCTAATTGTTTCTTCAATATCCATTATGACATTTATGTATGAAATAGGATCTCAATAAACCAGAATAGTGTTGTTAAATAGAAAGGATAGAAAATAAGTTTTTCTTTTGAGTAAATATTTAAAATAACTATACTTGTAGCATTTATTTTATCTTCATCATAAAAATAATATCAGGATAATATATGAAATATATCATTTTTTTTTGTATTCTTCACGAAAGTGTTGAAAGGCACGGTCAACCACGCCATTCCCCAGTTTCAAACGGTTCATACAAATATATTTTTCTGGCATTGACCTAATATTGCAAATTGTTTTTCTTATTTAAATTAGTATGCTTTTCTATATGTAATGTTTTTATTCGTCAAAATTGTTGAACTAAATTTGCTTACTTTGAAACTGGAAATACGAGACAGAGGTTCATGACGATACAAACCAACTTCTCAATTCTCTCTTACATATGTCAGTACCAATGTTTGTACACAAGCACATTAAATGTAATTCATACTAGTTTTAAACAGATGCCATATGCATAGTACAAGATAAGTAAAAGTTATACATTAATTTTAATAGTATTTTGTAGCAACCTGCGGATATTTGAAGGCATCGGATTAAGCCAAATTTCCATCAGCAATTAATAGTTTCGATCCAAATCATTTCATATTTCGTATGTCACTACAAAGAATATGCATTAGCAAATTAGTCAAATGCATTGAATTTCATATTGTCTGAGGCATAAAATGCACAATATGGCATTATAGCTAAAGTGTTTATTTCTAGAAAAAAAACTCAAAGACCTTTACAAACGAAATAGTTATTTGTTTTATCTTTATGTGCACGAGACACGGAAGTGCTTAACTTTTATTTCCAATTGGTTAAACCATAAAAAATGATGGAACATATTTTTCAAATATAATTCAATCACCATAAATGTTGTCGTATCTCTAATGTTTTAGGCACATCCTGATCCTCTTGTAAATGCACTGTTCACATAAAATCAATATTCAGGAAGACGAATAACTTAATTTTCTATTTTTGTACATATAATTCAGTCAAATGTCACTGTCACGATTACGGAGACATTCCGGAAGACTGTGTATTGAATTAGATTAAGCAGGAAATCATTCAATTACAATTCCAATTACAATTGAAAACAAAATCAAAGAATGCATATAATTGAGCTTAAGATTTAAAAAGGGAGTGTTGAACTCACATGGGACATTTACTCAAAATATTAACTAAACCCGGACTAAAGAGCACGATTTAATGTGATTTTTTAGAAATATTGAACATTTTGTCTTTTGTTTATAAATTGTTTCGTCAATCTCAAAATTCGTATAAAGATCTGTGATATATTAAAGACTTAACAGTTTGAAAAAAATAATAACCTTCTGCATCATCAGATATAAATGGGATTCATGTTTTTGTGTATTTTATCTTATTTTATTTTTAGCGTGTTGTATGTCCCATGGCTTTTTTCCTTTCTAGTGATTGATTAAAGCTTTGGGATCCCTTCCTTTCATCAAAAACATTCCACACCGAAAATTTTAAATAACGGGCATACTTCAAACTTTCTAGAACAGTAGAGGCGATGATACTCTCGGAAACTGGGTATGTACTATTCACATGGGATATAATTTATAAAAGTTACCTGTACATATACCATGGATGGCTTCGTAGTTATGGCAGCACTGCTCAAGTCTGAAATGTTAACAATAGCATTGAGGTTTAACACTGTACTTGTAAAAGTGTGCGTTTGTTAAGATAATTATGAAAACTAAAAGTTCAATAACAGTTGACTTTCTATCTATTGCACATACAAAAACGACTGTTTTATACAAGGTTACCGTGATGTAAAAGTGCATATAACATGCATAAGTTTGCAGACATCCCCCTGAAAGATCATAAACAACGTATGTAGATAAGAAGCAATTTATTTCAAAATATATGCCTGTCTCCAGTCAGGAGCCTGTAGTTCAATGGATGTCGTTGATTCATACATGTATCTGTTATATATATTTTTTTTAAACTGTTTGTTATATTTTATGCCGTTAGTTTACTCAATTGAATGTTTCACATTTATCATATCGGGGCCTTTTATAACCGACTATACGGCGTTGGGCTTTCTCAATGTTGAAAAAAAAAATGTTGTACGTCCAAACATCATCTTGAATTGAACGCTGGTTAATAGTTGTCTCATTGGCAATCATAACACATCTCCTTTTTTGTATATATATATATTTATATATAAGTCTAAATTGAAAACAACGTTCAAACCTATGATTGCGTTGGATAAAAACCGCATTTTTTATACGTGTGCATGCAAAACAAATTTCATTGTAGAGGGGTCTAACTACTGCACAAACAACATTTTCCTAAAGACGAAAAAGGTGAAAAAGTATATTTTAACAAAATGCATTTGACTAGCAGGTCGAACAACGGATGTTCTATAACCCTGCTGACTGCCATGGCGATTGCCAAATAAACGGACCACAAGATGTAACAAAATTAATCTTGTTATTAATTCAATACCAAACAGAAAAGAATAAACTTGCGGAAAAGATGGTATACCGAAAACATGAGTTGAAAAAATGTGTACACTATATCCGGATTTTGACAATTAATGTCTCTTCAGTGATGTTAGGAATAGAAACGGTATTTGGAAGGCCATACAATTTACCCCAATTTAGGATTGACTCTTGAATTTTGAAGAGTCGAAATAGGATGAACGGATTTTATAAACCCGAAGGCAAATATAATACAAGCCCAAACGAAAAAATATAAACAAGTCTAAATTGAAAACAACGTTCAAACCTATGATTGCGTTGGATAAAAACCGCAACTTTTATACGTGTGCATGCAAAACAAATTTCTTGGTATATATATATATTACTATAGCTTATGTTCACAAATGGTGATAACTATTAATTCGGGCTAAACATTACAAACAAATGTGTATTAACGTGATATTCAAACGAGGCCAAAACTCTGTATAGTATACCTCTGCTCGTGTCGCCTTTTTGTATAATTTTGTATTATTTAAAATACAATTGTTTTTCTATATACTGCAATCTTAGTTTTTTTTGCAGTTTATTTTCATTATATACATATATGAATTCTAAAT